TAAGGCAAGCTGCTGGCCACATTCGTCCCACAAGTTCCCCCTGGCAGTGGGAGGAGCAGCTCTGCACTGCTGTGTCCCTTTCCCCAGCTGGGGGAACAGCAGGGTAGCTCGGTCCCTGTGCTGGCTTGCAGGCTCCACCCATATTGCTCCCAATGGCTGGGAATCTTGGCCAATGGGAGCAGTTGGGGGAAGTACCTGCAAGTAGAAGGTGGTGGGGAGCCACCTGTGCCCCCCTGGGAGCTGCACCAGGAAGGCACCCCAGTGCCCTGATCCCTTCAGCACCCAGCCTCCTGCCTCCTCTTGCTCAGACCCCCAACTCCAGCCCACTCCTGCACCCCCTCCCACCCAGATCCCAAACCCTCAGCCCCCTCTTCCATCCAAATCCCTAACCCCAGCCCCATTCAGCACCCTACCTCCTGCCCAGATCCTGTACATCCCCTCCCAGCACACTCCTAGGAGTCTTTTCCCACACACTGAACCTCTCATTTTTGTTCCCAACCCAGAGCCTAAGGGGCCCCACAAAATCTACTTGCTCTGTTCTATCTACAGACATGGCCTGGAAAGGAGAGTTGCTGCTGAGAAAATCTCTGATCAAAGGCGCTGTGTGCACCTTGACATGAATGGAGAACTCACAGGGACATCTCTCGAAGGAGAACAATTGTTCTACGCCCACTGCAGGTAGGACAAGAAGTAATGGACTTGATCTGCATCAAGGGAGATTTAGGTTAGATATTAGGGAAAAAATAATGATAAGGGTAGTTGAATTATGGAATAGATTTCCAGAGATGGTTGTGCAATCCCATTACTACAGGTTTTTAAGAAAAGATTGGACAAATACCTGTCAGAAATGGTCTAAGTTTACCTGTTCCTGCCTCCATGCACGGGGCTGGACTTGATTTCTCGGGGTCCCTTCCAACCCTACATTTCTATAACTATCATGTGGGAAAGAAGATGAAAAATTCATGCATTGTTTGAGAATTATGAGGACACCAAAAAGGAAGTTTTCTTCCACTGCTTGTGTATTCAGGTCAGTAAGTGGTGAAAGAGAAAATTATTTTGTATAACAAGCAATCACTAGTTTTGAATCTAAAAGGACTTGGATTTAACTTCAGGACTTTCTTAGCATAAACATTCAGAGGAGAGCAGAGAGGAATTTGATGTCTCTATTAAAGGGGCAGCTAAAAAGGATCTAAGCCACCATGTTTTATAAGGTTGATATGAAATATTCAAGAACTTTCACATAATCATGGCAGCTTTTATCAATATAAAACAGACATCAACCATGGATTTCCATTAGGGATATCTTAATGATACATTCAGCATACATTTTGTAGCCTAATTAACTATGGCCTAATTGTTAACAATGAGAAGAGTGTAGCACCAAGGTAACAAATGAAGCTAAAGATTTTTTTTTATGCTTTAGGACAAAACCAGATAGACAGAGAAAAAATTGCTTAGTTTCAGCAAGGCCTGGAAGGGAGATAAAAATGAGAGCAAAGGAAATGCATTCTAGAAAAACAGAAAAAATATTCCTCTTACAATCTTAAAAATGATGGAGTTTGGCACCATTTGGAAGAGAAAAAGTGATGAGTAGGAAACATTATATGGTGCATGTTTAGCATTGTGCTTCTGAATTCTATGGTTTAAAATGATTAAGGACAAGATATATAACAGCCTTGCAGGCCCATGCACTTAAAATAAATGAACCAACAGGGCAGATTTAAAACAGATATTTAATTTAAAGGTATCACAATAATAAATAATAATAATAATAATAGAGAAAACTATTGAACAGTTAACAGCAGCTATTTTTTTAAAACCCACACCTTGTGCCAATGATGAAATTATCTTCAACCTTGTTTGATGGGCAGTGGTTACAATGGATTGAAACAGGAAAGGGAGATTGAAAAAGAGCGGGGAGCTGTGGGGAAAATTGCTCTCTCAAGAGAGAGAGCACTAAGATCTTTCCTTCTGCTTTAGCAGAGAAAGGGAAGCTGTCTAGGTCTAGTTGGCCTGATTTTATGGTCAAGAATAGAAGCTAACGATAAATTCTTCTCGATTCACCCACCCCTAGTGATTAGCATGCCCAGCTGCCAGCCTTTTGCAAGTTAATGTCTGAGAGTTGGTGCCCTTTTAACAATCTGCAGGAAAGAATACAGATTTGAAACCTAATTAAAAAAATAAAATCAGCTTTCCATAACGGCACGTACGATCTGTTTCCCTAAAGCAAAGTCTCTTGATGGCTTCTGAGGAGAATTTCTGGTGTGGACAGTAGCGTTACTCATTAACTCAAAGATGGCAAAAAGTATTTGCTTAAAGAGAAGTGAGAAAGGTAGCAACCGGGCCTTAGATCATAAGTCCTTTGCAAAGAAAGGGAAGTAGCAACGGGGCCTTAGTAGATCATAAGTCCTTTGCAAAGAAAGGGACTGCTGTTCCTTTTTTGCATATGAGAATCACACTAATGAACTCTTCTAACTGGCCTGTATGCCAATCGGTCTCCCTCTTTCCATTCAAATCCCTCCTTTTCCCTTCAAAGCCTTTGAAACAATTACGCAACAAACAGGCAATAATATTAAAACCCGAAGTGTTGGGACTAATCAATTTAACTCTCAAACTGTGAGTCCTTTGTCTTGTGCAGCAGTGGGCAATGACTAGCCCTCAGGCTGGCAGTGGTTCACCAGTATTAGCCGCTGCAGCTGTATTTACCTCCACCTCCACAGGTACAGGCACTTGCAGGTCTTGTTGGCTACATATCACCGTTCCTGGACAATGAGAATTGCAGGAAGGGGTACTGACTGGAACACTGTTCCCCACAGCCCCCATTGGCCAGGAACAGTGCTCCGCAGCCTAGAGAAGCTGTTCCTGTGGAGGTGCAGGTAAATAAAGTCATGGTGATCCACGAGGGGTTAACCCTGGCGAACTACCTCCATCTTATTGCCCACGGTCTTGTGTTACTTGTTCATGATTGCCCTGTAAAGTCTCTCAGAAAAGAGTTTGTTCTACACTTGAACAATACACTTCCTATTTGTGTGGCACTAATGATACAATTTCTGGAGGCACCTATCAGGAAGGAGTCTAAGTCCCATTTTCAAACATGACTTAGGAAACTCAGGCTCACTGACAGTCAATGAAAGTCACTTTTGAAAATGGGAACCGGGGCTTTTGAAAATTTTACCCTAAATAAATAGTGTGGCTCCAGTCCGTACATTTTTTGTTTTATAGACTCCTGTCTTCCTGTCTGATGTCATACTGAAGGCCTGATTTCAATTCCCATATCTGGATCTCAACTCAGATTTATTGGCTTCACAAAGTGTGACATGGTGGCCAACCCCCAAGCCAATTCCAAGACACATTTTGAGATTCTTTACTTATTTTTTCACATAGCCCCTTTTCACTTAGAGAAACTCTTATTGATGCCCATGTCCTAAGAATTTAACCCTTTCTGGATATGTACCATTGTTATAATAGAGGCTAGCCAGTACTTGAAAGGTCAGGCATTTGGTTATTCAGTATGAGGTGAACTTCCTATTTTTTAGAAAAATACCTGCTGTTTGGTTCATAACTCAATACAGTTTTTTATTTCAGTGTTTACAAAGCAAATTACAGTATCCAGTGTTTCATAATTGATATCCACTGCACAGTGTCAGAGCAGGAGATTAAGGTACCTCTTCTACAAAAGTAGAACTAGTCCAAAATATAAACATGTCCACATAATCTTTCACTGACGTATTGCATTTCACAAACAAAAAAGCATGTTTTGCAAATTATTGTTGCAAAAATCTTCATGAAAATTTGGACTCTCTAGACAGAAGCTGTGGCTAATCCCATTTATTTTAGTAATTAAGTGAACAAACCTAAGCCTCATCTACACTTACAGGGAGATCAGCACTGTGGGGATTGATCTACTGAGGTATTGATTTAGCGGGTCTAGTAAAGACCCACTAAATTGACCACTGATCATGTTCCTGTCATCTCTGGTACTCCACTGGATCAGGAAGAGTAAGGGGAGTCAATGGGAGAGTTTCTCCTGACCATCTCCTGCAAGTGGGAACACCAGGGAAACTCAAACTAAAGTACGTTGACTCTAGCTATTCTATTCACGTAGATGGAGTTGCATATCTTAGTTCCACATTGACCTCCAGTATACCTGGCCCTAGTGTGGCTATACTTTTAATTCTGTCACTGAACACTAAGATACCAGCAGGAGTTCATATTCCACAACAATCATCATGGAGACACTTGGGCTACATCTACACTGCACAATTATTTTGGAATAAGCTATTCCGGAATAGTTATTTAGAAATTGAGATAGCACATCTACATTAGAGGGAAGCCTCAAAATCAATTCGAGGCAGGCTTCCCTAATCTAGACATGCTATCTCAATTTAGAGCCCCAGGAAGAATAACTTAGAATGGCCCTATTAAGGGTCTATTTCAAAATAGCAGAAGTGGAATGTCTGTACATGTCTTATTTCGAAATAGCTATTTCAGAATAGGTGTTATTCTTTATAGAATGTGTAGAACTCAGAATAAACTTTGTTATTTCAAAATTATTTCAAAATAATGGAATTGCTGCGTGTAGAACTCAGAATAAACTTTCTGTTATTTCAAAATTATTTCAAAATAATGGAATTGCTGTGTAGACGCTCGCATAATTATTTTGGAATAACGGCCATTATTCCAAAATAACTTTGCTGTGTAGACATACCCTAGAACCTGACCTTAAAGTCATTGAAGTTGTACCAGAGATTCAAAAGAAGTGGGATCAAAGCTATAAAACGTGAATCATGATTGCTGGTTAACTGGGCCTAATCTATGCTCTTGGCTAATTTTAATGGAGCATCTATTTTGATTGATTTATGGAAGATGGAGATGTTAAGTGATGTCACTGATGTATACATGACATTGTTCAGAAGCATTGTGATGCAATTGTACATTATTGTTCACTACCCTACTTTCTAAAACACCTTTCATTTAAGGCTCTTTAAGTACATCTTCCCTGTGAAGTAGGGTAGATAGTGTCTTTAATTTGAAGAAAGCTAAACTGAAGAAGAAAGACATTAAATGGATTTGTCAAAGGTCATACTGAACATTAGTGACAGTCCATAATAACTCGTGAGTCTCCAATCCCTTACAAAATTCCCCACTTCTCCCCAAAAAGCAAATTGAAGGGATCCAGACGTTCAACATCAGCACAAGTGTTTTTAGTCAAGATTTTAAAATGGGCGGGGGGGGCGGTCTTTCAGTCATCAATTTGATCTCTTTGGAAGAGAGAATTCTAGTTCAGATCTTTCAGTCATCAACTTGATCTCTTTGGAAGAGAGAATTCTAGTTCAGAAGGGAGCAAGAGCATGCCTGCCACAGCTCTGTGCAATTGAAAGGGAGAAGGAGACATGTACATTGATACATAGGAAGTGGTTTTCCATCAGAGCAGTTTAGATTACAAAACTGAAGAAGTAAAACTACAGAAGATGGCAAACCAGCAGATTATTTTAGCGTATCTTTCAAATACCGGGAACAGACAGGCATTTTCTTTTTAATCTCTGCTCTTCTAGCAACATTTGCCTTCTAAATCATAATAGCATTTTTCTGCAAAATTACTCTTACCCCCTGCCTACGCACACCTAAGGCATAACCAAGAGAAGTAACTTCTAGTGAGTGCTGATACAAAGGGAAAGAATGCAAATGATTTCTTATATTGGTTAGGAGCTCTTCAAACCAAAGAGTCCCTCTTCCATCCCAAAGAGCCACTACATATTTTCATTATTATTATTTTATAGATTAACTGTTGTTTGCAAGTTTCAGTAATGCCTGCATATGTGCTGAACTTTGAAGACCATTATGAAGAGGAAGCTAGCTGTTCTGAGCCTAATGTAAGTGGTTGCTTAGTGGTCTAGGTATTCTGTTTGTTGATTACATAGTACGAGGTCTCCATACCCCTGGAACAAACTAGTTTCAGTCTACAACCAGAGCAAGAAGAACAGATAAAAGTAAAGTATCAGAGGGGTAGCCGTGTTAGTCTGAATCTGCAAAAGCGGCGAGGAGTCCTGTGGCACCTTATAGACTAACTGAAGTGTTGGAGCATAAGCTTTCGTGGGCAAACACCCACTTCGTCAAAAGCTTATGCTCCAATACTTCAGTTAGGCTATAAGGTGCCACAGGACTCCTCGCCGCTTTTGCAGATAAAAGTAAACCTTCCTGTGAGAGCACAGTGTGTGTCTGTCCTCTGGGGGACTGCGGCAACTCTGAGAACCACATAACTTCTTCCTCCACAGGTGAGCAGAATTTTTTGGCATTCAGGTCTTCGTTGTCTCTGTTGTGCACTGTGAAAGAACAATATGACAAAGACTCTGCACTGGGGTTCAGGCGATCTAGGTTCTAGCCTTAGGTGGCCCCAGTCCTGTGTGAATTTGGGCAAGACACATAATCTCTGTGCTTTGTTTCTGCACCAGTAAAATGAAGGCGGTACGTCGGTGAGCTTACAGGGGTATTTGGAAGGACAAATGGAATTATTTGTTATATTGGGTTATACTCACGTGCCGAGTGCTGCATAAACACAAAAGAAACCACTGGCCTTGCCTCAAGGAGAATTGACAGTGAGTTAAGAAAGACTGGGAGGTACTATGTTTATGCAAATATCTGGAAGTCGGGAGAGCTCATTAGGGGCACAGCCAGAAGTGCTGGCCAGCTCCTGGGGAAGATTTGTGAGAAGGCCTGGCCCAGGAGTAAGGATGCTTCTCTGGGACCCAAGAGAGCTGGGCTTAACTGCCTGCTCTACCCCAATCTTCCTGTATATTGTTGGGTGGGTCATTTAGCATCTCTATGGGTACGTCTAAACTACAGCATTAATTCAAGTTAACTTAATTCAAAATAGTTAATTCAAATTAGGGTAATTCGAAATAACACATCTATACACAAAAACTATTTCGAAATAGCGCTTTGCTATTTCGAAATAGCGCATCCACACTGAGTGGACCGTGAACCGAAGTTAAGGCTGGCAGGAACCAGAGCCGTTAGAGTGTGGAGCTGCTGTCTCAGGCTAGCCGAGGGCTGCGCTTAAAGGGACCCGACCCCTACCCACAACACACAGTTCTCAGGGTTCCCCGCTTGCTTGTCTACCTTGATGAGGGACAGCAAAGCAGTCCTGTCTTGGAGTTCCCTGAGTTCCCGCACTCAGGACACCACAGCACTCGGCCACATGGAGCCAGAGCTGCCCCTAGGCATGCTGGTGTGTCTCGTGGGGTCATTGCCATCAGCCCAGCTGCACTTGCTACAGACTGCCATCCAGGGGGGTCTATCGGGGCTCTCAGGATCCAGGAGGCCCTGCGGGAGAGCGTCCACCGCGAGGAGCCCTCAGAGCCACCCCAGTCCTCTCCACCAGGGGCTCATGCCCTATTCCTCCCTCACATCCTTCCACTTATCCCTCCCTAACCCCCCTTCCTGATGTCAAACAAAAGACACGTATGTTCAAAAACAGAAGCTGGGTTTATTGAACAAAACTGGGGCGGGGGGATGAACCTCTAGGGAGACTGGGAAAAGGAGGTGGGAGAGGGGAAAAGAGAGGGTGGAAGAGGGGAGGGGGAAGCCTGGGAGGAGGGAGCCAGAAGGGGGAAGCAAGGGGAAGAAGGGGGAAGGGAAGCTCAGGGCCTAGGGTTGGGGGTCTTGCCAGACCAACTTAATTTTCATGCAAACCTGCTTCTGGGTTCATGTGGCCTTTGGTGGCCAGGCTGGCAGCTATCCTGCCATAGACGGCCGCGTTCCTCCATCTAGTGTGGAGATCATGGACGTTGGGGGCATCCCCCCTAAACCTGAATAAGTCCCATGATCTCCACCCTGGACCAGGAAGGCGCCTGCCTTCTCCGGCTCCGGGCTCGGGGGAGCTGGCAGACTGTTCCTGGGGAGTGGTGGAGGTCTGGCTGCCAGTGGCTTACTGGCTCATGTTTTGGGGCCACTGGGTCAGGGGCCCCGGTGGCCACTGCTGGCTCTGGGCTGGCAGGCTTGGAGCTGGTACAGGCACTGTGGCCAGGGTCTACCTCTTTAATGGCTCTGGGGCTGGGAGAGAAGAGAGTAATTTTTCCTGGTTGTGCCCAGAATGGCCACCAGGGCTCCTTGGGAAGGTCTGGAGGCCCCCTATTTCGAATTAAGTGTCTACACAGCACTTAATTCAAAATAGCTATTTCGAATTTGGTGTTACTCCTTGTGGAATGAGGTTTACCAAATTCAAATTAAGCGCTCTGCTATTTTGAATTAATTTCAAAATAGCAGTTTGCATGTATAGACTCTATTTAAGTTAATTCAAAATAATGGCTGTTATTTCGAATTAACTTTGCAGTGTAGACATATGCTGTGTCTCAGTATTCCATCTGTAAAAGGGGGATAACAACCCCGCCCTCCCTCCTCCGGGTATTGTGAGGACAAATCCATTAAAAAATGGTGAGGTGTTTAGATACTATGGTGACAGGAGTGAGATAAATAGATTTGCCTGCTAGTCACTTATATATCTTGACTGGAAGGAATCTCTTCACATTTCTCCACTCTGCACCTTCCGAGGCCAAACTTTGCACAGGCTACGCAACTATACAGATTTCCAGAACTGGTTATTGACACACGACGCAACCTGAATTTATGCAACTCCTGTTTTAAATGGGTTCTGTCAAAGCATCATATATTTTGGAGGAGATAAGCAGGACAATGTCTTATCACTCCATGCAGTGTCACTCTTATCTCCCCAGTTATAGAGACTTTTCATACCAAAGTACCAAGCAGCGTTTGGAGAGAATAAAATAACGTCTCCTGAGCTTTCATTTCCTAGACTCATTTGGAAAGTGCATTTGGAATACAGATTGGGAAGGATGGAAGTAAGCAGAATCGTGTGTTTCTGCTATCTGCTGCACAGTTACTGTTTTCTCTTCTTATTAAGTGAAAATCTGCATTGCTGATAAACTATGATAACAGATACACTCCGGTTTCCCTAATAATTCCTTCCTCATCTAGGAAGAAACTTCTCATTTATCTCTCAAATGCCAATTAAGCCTTGTAGAGATTTCTTCCCTCTCTGTGAATAAATACAATTTTTCTCAGTAGATGCACGTAAATGACAATACTGCCCTGATCTTTTCTTTAATGTTTAACTGAATTTACTAGAAAGAGCTTAAATGATGGCACTAAAGAACAGAGTCCTCTCTTAGTAACATGTGAATTGTGTTTTCAGGTTTTTCTGCACTACCACAAAGGATAACGACTCACTCTTTTTGTATAATGGAAGCTGAGGTAATCACGTAACAGCTAGAGAGGCCTGGCTGGAAAACATGAATTCCACCTTCCAAAAAAAGGTTGCGATTTTGAAATTTGTTTTTGTTCGGATGTGGAATGAAACCGAAACCCTACAATATGGGGAAAAATATGGGAGATCAACTCTACACGAAGCAAGGAGATAGGGCAGCTACCTGGGATGTGGAAGATGCTGTTTGAAGGCCCTGGTCTGCCTGTCGAAGAGAAAGAACTTGATACTGGGTCTAACAGACTGTACGAAGTGGAACAGCTCCACCAGGAGAGACTGGAGAGAGACTGACCTACGCCCTGGGGTTGAGGACACTTATCTAGGAGGTGGGAGAATCAGGCAGATCAGAGTGTGAATTTTCCACGCCCTTGTCAAGTCCCTATTCACCAGACTATTGACTCTGCTGGAATGCCATTTATTTTTATAACAACAAGAAGTCCTGTGGCACCTTATAGACTAACAGATATATTGGAGCATAAGCTTTCATGGGCAAAGACCCACTTCATCAGATGCATCTGATGAAGTGGGTCTTTGCCTATGAAAGCTTATGCTCCAATATATCTGTTAGTCTATAAGGTGCCACAGGACTCCTCGTTGTTCTTGCAGATTCAGACTAACAGGGCTACCTCTCTGATATTTTGTGTAGGAAATGCTGGTACATTCATCCAATCAGGAGCCAAAGTGATCGTGCGACTTATCTCGCCATTCAACACTCATGTCATTACCTGGTTTACTGGGTGGGACCCTTGATTAGACCCACATAACAGCTTTAGAGTCAAAGGGGAGTATAAACACAGATAGGGTCCTCCTTGCCCTGAATGGTCCCTGTTGCCCATTGGCCAGCTAAATGGAAGCCAACTGGCTTCTCACTGCCCACAAACGTTAATTTAAACTTTTGCCCAGGGTTTCTCAAGCCTTTTGGCCCAATGCATCTCATTCAGTCAGGGAATAGAAACCCCACCATGTGATTTAGCTAACCAAGCGACACCAAATGTCACCAGCAAATACCAAAATACTCACTGAGAGCCAGTTATTTCAATGCGGAGGTTTTAAAAGCACAAAAGAATGTGCTGAAAAACTTCAAATGAGAAGTAAAGACTGGGGCAGTGGAAAGAGCTAATTTCACGAGGTATGACATTTGTTGCCATTTATTCACCTGACTCCAGTCCCAGTTTCTTAAGTTAGGATCATTCTTTGGTTCTCTGGAGCTTGCACAAAGCACACCAACCCAATCCAATCTTATAGTGTCCAAAACAAGCTCTAATTCCGATCAAAGGGTAGAATTCCTCATTCTCTAGAGCAATGGTTTTCAAACCACAGGTCGCAATCCACTCCTGGGTCTTTGGAGTGTCAGGCACTGGGTCTCCTTGCTCCAGGGCGATCACTGAGGGTGCTGATCTTCCTGTCCTGGCTCTGCAGACTGCACTGTGCCCCAGAAGTAGCCAGCAGCAGGTCTGATTCATACGCAGAGGTGCTCTGCATGCTGCTTTCACCCACAGGCCACCAGTCAGTTCACCAGTTTGCACCCTACAAAATGTAACTTGAGGGTTATGCTTTTGGGGCATGCAGCATGGTCTGCAGTGCTAGGAAAGGCAGGGAGCTGCCTTAGGCCCCCTGCTGCACCGCTGACTGCCCTGAACTCTCCCTCACCCCCACACCACCGCGCAAGTTGACACTCTCATCCTCACTCCCACCCCAGAGCCCATATTTTAATCAAGTTATATTGGATCACAGGTCTCAACGAAACTGGGTCATGAAAAAAAAGTTTGAAAAGCGCTGCTCTAGAGCCCAAAGAAAAAGGCAGAAGCTTCATATAAGTCCCTTTGATTCCTTCTTTCCTTGCTACCACTTGTTCCTCGTTGTTCCTTGTATAACGTCTCAAAGCAAAACGTCTTAAGAATGAGGAGATCACAGAGTTCAGAAATGAACGGAGCTGCTGTATTCATAGTGATATAAAAGAAAGGTCCCAGCCTTCAACAGAGTTCAAGAAAGAACTAGATAAATTCACAGAGGGTCGGTCTATCAATGACTATTAGCCAGGATGGGTAGGAATGGTGTCTCTCGCCGCTGTTTGTCAAAGGCTGGGAATGGGTGATGGGAGAGGGATTGTTTGATGATTCTCTGTTCTGTTCACTCCCTGTCGGGCATCTGGCATTGGCCGCTGTCAGAAGACGGGATATTGGGCTCGATGGACCTTTGGTCTGACCCAGTATGGCCATTTTTATGTTCAGGTCAGATTCAGAGAAGGATGATGCTGGGCTTAGTTGGTAGCTTGGGCTTTGGAAGACCAGGGGTCAGTCCGAGAGAGATCTTGTGTGACCTTATGCAAGTCACTTAATCTTTCTGTGCATCAGTTCTCCATCTGCACAAGGGGAATACTAATACTTCCCTCTCTCACAGGGGTGTTGTGAGGCTAAACACATTACACAGTTGTGAGGCTCTCAGGCTAAGATAATGGGGACAAAGTCAGTACCTACAATTAGTAGACAAAAGAAAAACTAAGAATACAAAAGTAGCTTCATTTTTTGGGAGACACTAATTTAGATAAAATGGGGACAGAAAATGTAACCATAAATAACTTAATAACTAGCAACTTATAAAGTCTTTGCAAAAAACACGAGTGAAAGCCCCCCTCGTAATGAAATCTTAGGACATTTTGCTGTTGGCTTCTTTGTGGCTGAGATTTCACCCATGGATTTGGTTCGTACAGAGTCAAGAATAAGCAGCCCTCGATTCCTCTTGTGTTTGTTCTTTGCAAGTATTCTGGACAACCAGTTGCCTGGCCAGAACTTTCACAGAAAAGGCTAATTTTATGCAATGGTGGAAAATGTTTGCAGATAATGAAGTTTGAAACTGTAACTCTCAAGCATTCTCAGTGGAAACCTGATTCTAAAAGTCATCCGGATACCATGGACCCAATTTTCCTCCACTCTATATCAGCTTGGTCCATTAGACCTGTGCTCCTGTCCTGAGGTAGTAATGTCCTCTTAGCATTCATTCAAATAACTGGTAAAAGAAAATCGAGCCCTCACATGCCCAAACAAAACAGCTAGAGTTTTGGTTGTTAAATACTTGCAACAAACTTCTTTTGACAGGGCTACAGACTGAGCAGCACACAAAGAAATTGCTTTGCAAATAATATTGATCAATGGACGCAACCTGTCATGCACTATTTGCAAATGTAAAAAGAGGTGAAGTTCGCTGAAAAATGATTCCATTCAAATCATTCACCCAGCTTTGCTTAACACAACCCTGAGGCATAAATTCAGTACAGATTCAGAAGGCTTGCTTTGTGTACTTCTAAACTCAATGGGGGAATAAAATGGTTGCACATACATTTATCTTAGAAAGCCTCGGTTTCAAAGCAACCCAACTCCAACACCCAACCTGTGCCAGACAAGCCATAAGATCAGGAAAAATACTAATTCTTTCTTCATCAGGAGAGGTCTGGCAGCAGCCTACAATCCATCTCACTCAGAAGCTAATAGTAAGACAATTATTTTAAGGCCAGATGTGGCACTGATACAGACTGCTAAGTTCTCTCTCATTCTGCAGAAAGAGCTTCCTCCTTGAGTATGGGGCCGAGGTGTGAGTGTTTGTGAGAGAGGGTGGGATAAATTGAGATAGAAAACCAATTTATTTTCATGCAAACTAGATGCAAGTGTTTCTATTACTCCACGCTGCAACTATGTGACTATGCCTTGTTGATTGCAAGCTCCGTGGGAAAGGAATTGTCCCTTAGTATATGTATGCACTGTGTCTAACTAACTCAATGGGGTCCTGATCTCAGTTTTTGTGCCCCCCAGGTGCTGCCACAAAACAAACAGCAATAATGGTATTGTGCTGCAAAAATATGTCAAGAAGTGTATGGTAGCCACTTTGCGGCATACAGATCCCAACCGCCATCATGAAGCATCATTTATCTAGCCATTTCTACCATATCCATCGCCATGGAAATGGATGGAATTCACGTCCTTCTGCTTTGAAAATGTTCCCTTCCAGTTCAGCTAAAGGAGAATCTCAGCTGTTTGCAGTATAGGATTTATGACACACAGATAAGTACTTCTGATTTATCCATTATAGGACAGCGGTGCACAGTATACCCACGACAGCGTTTTAAAGACATTTCCCATTCTTGTCTGCAGCCTTCATTCCCTTATTAGCGTATCCTCCAGAGATGAGAGCTTTCTGGAAACCAAGAATAGTTAAGGCTGCTGGAGAGCATGAGCCCAAATATTGGTGGAAACGAGGCAATACTGGCTCCTCTAACTCTTCCAGATGGTACTTAGAAATCCTCCACTGGGTTCTTTAATGCTCTTCTTTCCTCCCTTGATTCACAGTATGAAATATTACACAATGTTCTATGCTGACCTTTCCTTCTTCTATCCTGGCGTTCTTGCTGAACCCTGTTGCTACTAGGGAAATAATAATGCCTTATACAAAGTGTGCCTTGTAAACTGTGCTCTTGGGCAACTGTTCTGGACAGATTCCAGTGCTGCCCAGCTGAGTAGCAGAATGCCCACCGCTAGGTTTTAGGTTTCTACTGGTGGTGCACATTTGCACGTGCCTTGGTGTGCATAAAATTTATTCTTCATTGACGGAAAAGATTAGAGTGAACGTTGCTTTTACATCATGAACTCAAAGGCAGAGCTGGTAAGAGCATCTAGATCAGGATTTCCCAACCTATGGGTCGGGACCCAAATATGGGTCGCCATTACATTTCAAAAGGGTCGCCAAGTGTCTCCCCAGGTGGCTGTGTCCCCTCTCTTCCTCCCGTTTTTGAATTGCCTTGAGTCACCAAGTCTTCCTGAATTGTTAAAATGGGTCCCCATCTGGAAAAGGTTGGGAACCACCGATCTAGATGATCAGACTTCTGACCCTACTTCCCAGTCTCCAATTCGACTAGCAAACACTTCCCTCAGACTTCTGTCCCTACTTCCCAGTCTCCAATTCGACTAGCAAACACTTCCCCTGTTTTCCTGTCTCTTCTCACCCACCATTATGTCATGGCCCATCTGGAATCCCTTGTACCCTCTTAACTAGGGGGTATTATAACCAGCTTAGAAGGAGGAGCCACTGTACCAAAGAAGAACAAAAGAAAAAAAGCAGGTGAGAAACAATAAAAGCTACAGAAAACTGTCGTCACTGCTGATGTGTCTTCAATTTAATACATCACTGTCACTTCTCTAGAAACCACTGGGTATATCATTCTGCTCGCTTCCAAAGCCTTTACTCCCACCCTGAGCATTAGAAGCTAAGAAAATCCATCATTTACATTGCTGTAGTGTCCAAAGTGCATAAGAAGCTGCCAGGAGCAGAGTCCCTGCACCACTATCCCCAGTAGAAGCTCAGTCATCACTTATCCCAGATTTTTAAAAGAAAAGTTTCTGCCTGTTTCT